CCTTCCACCACACTGAGTCACTCTTGTCCAATATGACATGAGGCTGAATTTGCCCATGTCAGATGCTTTCCCAGTGTCATACTGCTGTGTCTCATGGGGAATTGGCCAGAGTAGATCCATTAACGGCCATCTCTTTCTTAGAACAAAGCAGCTAGTTCCAATTTGGTGGTATTGTGATAATAGAATATGGTGGTCCAGCCATGATCAGTGGCGTTTAACAGGCTCCTTTTTGATAACTGTCTTTTCTACAGTGAATTGAAGACTGAAGACACCTCTCCATACCTGATGTTGATTAGGCTACGAAAATGAACTGGCTGGCCAAAGATCCTATGATAAAGACTATGTGGGTCTAATTTATTCCTTGAAGCTCAGCCCTGACTTCCTTGTTAAAATAGCACAATGCTGGTATTTAAATAGAATTTATCATATATACGTAGTTTTGCAGGAAGATGGCCTTCCAAAAGATCAAACAAATACATCTTTAAGGGGAAAACTTTCTTCAAAACTTACCAAATAGGTGAAGAAACCAGGTGGTTTCCCATGATGGAAGAGATTCTGCCTTTACATTTTAAAAAAAAATCTGACTTTTGTTTTCAGACTTTGGTTAAAAGGACTGTTTAAAGGTTGTCAACTGTAACCTTTTGACAATAGTTTTTAAGCATACCAGTGGAAGAGTAGAGTGTCTATGTGTATGAACAAACACCATATTTTAAAATTGACCTTTGGATAATAAGAAAGATCTTACAGCATAAAACCCTCTGCAGATCCATTGTTAGTGGGAGAGTTACCTTCTACTGAATCATGGCAGGAGGAGGAGCAGATGTGTTTTAATTAATTCCTCAACCCGTGTTGTTCTCCAGTTAAGAACTGTGGTGGCTGCATGATACCACCATAGAAAGCCCCTGGTTTTCAATTGCTCTGGGATTAAAAATTGGTTTCTGAACCCAGGTACAAAAGCATCCAGGGATGCTCACAGTGCACTCTGCCTTTGTGAGTAATTTTCTTCTTGATATTTATTAATATCACCTAATTAAAATATTTGGGGGAAGAATAGAACATAACGCTGTTAGCACACACCTCTATAAAAATGTATATATTACAGATTCAACAAAATTGGCTATTGTCTGCAGCCAGGAAGAATCGGAATTCATGACATGCAATGACATGTGTAGTGTTCTTGGGTGAATGTGCTTCAATTTCAAGACAGGCCTTCCTTACAGGTGGAGTTTGTGATTGCTGTGAGTAAAACCAAACTCTGACTTGCAGAAATGCAAATATACTGATACTCAGGAAAGCAGAACACACTCGGTTAGATGACTATTGAGAGACCTTAGTCATCCTTAAGAGTGAATTCCCTTCCGGCCGTTGTTTTTCCTCTATGGTGTATAACTTTAAACATTTTCTCAGGAAAAGCGCTTCAAGCCTTTCAACGAGGAATGTGAAATATCAGTGTTTTCTATAAAATGTTTGACAGTCTCTATATAAACACGAGATGAAGTGATGTATTTATAAATTCATCCAAGTACTGTAATCTTTGAAATGTTGTGTAAACCTGTGTGTGAGTTTTGTCTCATAGTGTCTTTGGGAACATTTTTATTGCTTGCTAATTTTGCAGGTATAGTTAGCTATTCATTTTTGTTACAGCCATGCCAGGAACATTCCGTGTTACTTGTAAACATTCCTTTTGTATGTTCCCAAACCCTCGGAAGCAGGTCATGTTATTATTCCTACTTCCCCAAGGAAGACTGAAGATGGGTAAGTGATTTGCCCAACTGCTAACTTTGGAGTGGAGATTTGAACCCTTGACTTGGCCATTGATGTTCATTCTACTTGCTCACTGGCTGGTCTAAAATATTTCCCAGCTATAAAATTGCCTCTCTTTTCGCTACTTTAACAAACACACAGCTTCTTTGGTAGCTATCTGCATTACCCTGTGGATAACAGTCAGAAATAACCCTTACTGATAAGTCAATATTTTGCTGAATTTAGTTGGCCTTTCACCTGCTGGACCATCATGAGGAGAACTCAGCTCAGACAAACCTTCCTGCTAAAAAACCTGATCTGATTGTTTTATACTTATTTATCATGACTTTATGCCACAGGAAAGAATTTCTTTGTAATACAGTTTCAGGCACACTTGTAGGGAAATAGGGATAATGAATCCTACTTCAAATTTGCAGTGTAGAAAGAAAACCCACCTGTCACTTGGAGACCAGTCAGGCTCTTCTTGTACCTCAATCATTGTGCCAGCTTGTAATACACTTGAGATTTTGGAACGGACTCATTTAATGGACCTAACAACAACCTTGACAATTTCCACGTGAATACATATTCCAAAGTCAAAAATGGGACGACGCTGCGGGATTTTCTTTTGGTTTCGCTATGCTTATTTTTGAGCAGGGAAGTACAACTGGACCTAGTACAAATAAGCCTGCACATAAGGTCGCCAGGCTCCCTTTGGAATGGGCTTTGGATTTGCGGAGAATAAAAATGAGCAGGTTCAGTGGCCAAAAATGATCTGAGCTCTTCAAATGCAAATGTAACTTTAGAGTAATGTTAGCTATATCATTTATTTTTTGTATGTGGATTATTTCTTATATCTTTATTGTCTCGGCTTTTATCATTTGAAATGTTTTTTCAGTAAACATTTCTGCATGACAAAACAAAAGGTTACAATGGGGAATGAAGTTTATTAGTCTAAACACAGAACTATACAGGAAATATAAGAAGAGAAACACGAGTTCAGCTGATTCTAAATAATTGTAGTTCTCATTAAGCTAATCAATAGATTAGATAAGAAAGTCTGAGGTGGGCCCGAAGTTCATGGATGAAGTTAGAAAATGACAGGAACCTTGGGTCTACCTTGATTACGTACATTTTAAGAAATGTCGAGATTAAACAACTGGCACAGTATATCTTTTGAATAATTGCATATAATATGCTTTACAATGAAGAAAATTGATCTTCTAATGTGTGGATTTTTTTTTTGTTTTTATTTATCTTTCCATGAAAATCATCATCCATAAATTAATCAGTTTTTATTTTACTACGGGTGACAATAAAATCCATAGTAAATGGATTCTTTTTATCAGTGAACAGATATTTAAGTAGCTTCTTGAATTTTTCTGCTAGTTTTCCCTGGATCCAAATTAACAGAAAAAAAACAATATATATATATTAAGTTTTTATTCGAAATTCAAAACACTAAGAGTTACAAAAATGAAAAGAACACAGACACTTCTCAAATTATTTCATCTATTTCTTCATTTTGAAAATTTCCACCTCTCCTCTGACCTGCAAATAAATACCAAATCCTCCTCGTATCAGAGTGGTTGCCCTATCCTGGTAGGACTGAACAGTCCTCCACCTAATACCGTAATCATTTCAGTTCTTTCCCTTTCTCCCTCCCTCCTTCCTTTTTTTCTTCTTTCCCTTACTTTTCAGTGGAAAATATTAAGGCTACAATAAAACTTTAAATAATCATATTTAATTGATTTACTATTAAAGTATATACTTGTGATGGGGTTCAGGACATACTACCTCCAAATATGGCATCTTGGCATTTGAGAGAACAGCAGAAGCAGGAAGTTCACGCTCACCTTCCCCTCTCCTCCCCTGAAGCAGGTCATGAAACCTCGCAAGGAATTTTTTGACATTCCCCTGTCAGATGCTCATTTGAGAGGGGCCCTCCCTATACCCTGAGGAGAGGAGTATCCTTATCTCTGGAGACTCAGGGACACAGAGAAGAATCTGAACAAACAGGCTTTGCTGTTTTACTCCTGGTTTATTACCATTAAATATTAGGTCACACCCCTTTGTATAAGCAGACTTCATTATAATGATCCAACTCTTCATTGAGTCAAGCATTTAAAATAACGCACAGCATCATGCATTTCTTCAGGTCTTCATTTCCTTATGAAGGCTCCTGTGTTATGTTAAACTTACATTGAATAAATTTGTGCTTTTCTCTTGTTGATCTGTCTTTTGTTATAGAGGTCTCAGTCACAAATCTAAGGTGGGAGGGAAAGATTTCTTTTCTCTTACACCTAGAAGAAGGAAAGTTATTTGTTTCCCCTTGTAGTCAGATATACTTAAAGTTGTGGTAGAATTAGGAAAATTTTGGATTTATCCTAGACACGTAAGGTTGGTTTATCTTAGAAAGTTACTATAACTTACCATAATAAAGGATAAGAATTATGTGATCATTTTAATCAATGAAGTATATTTGACAAAATTCTGCAACTGTTCATAATAAAACTCTAACCAAGCAGGGAATTGTAGGAAATTCCATCATTGTGACAAAGAACATTTATGAAAAGCCCTCAGTTAATATAAATAATGGTGAAAGTAATACTTTTCCCACCAATATTGGTAAAAAGCAAATATGCCCCCTTCCACCACTTGTCTTAAACATTGTACCACAGGGACTAGCCATTGGAATAGATCAAGAAAGAAAATAAAAAAGAAAGACAACAGGCATATAGATTGAAAGGGAGGAAGTAAAACTGTCCATTTGTCTGCGTTCATATGATTGTTGATATAAAGAACTCCAAGGAATCTATAAAACTACTGAGTATGGTATAAGGGAGTGATTTGTAAGTGTTCTCACCACATTGCTAAAATTCAAAAGACCGGCTATCACTGAGAATTTGGAACAACTGAACTTATCTACTACTAGTGGGAATGAAAATGTGGGACGGTTTGGAAACAAGCTGTTTCTTAGACAGTTAAATATACCTTTGCAATGTGAGCTAGCCATTCAATTCCTTGGGATGTTTTGTTTTGTTTTGCTTTACCCCAGAGGGACAAAAACTTCTGTCCACAGAAAAATTTGTACATGAGTTTTTATAGCACTTTTATTTGTAAGAGCAAAAATTAAAAACAAAACCAATGTTAATTAACAGATGGATAAACAAAGCATGGTACATGGTACCCTGGAATATACTCAACAAAAGAGGGGATCAAACCACCAACAAATAAGTATATACCACAGGGGATAAATCTCAAATCATTATGCTAAGGGAAAGAAGCCAGAGTGGTCACAGTCTATAATGTCAGAATTGTGGAGAGCAGATCAGCATAGTTGACTCTTGAACAACCGGGGGTTGAATTATTTAGATCCCCTTGTATTCCATTTTTCAGACTGAGCCATTCCTGAGACAGCAATCTCTTCCCTTCTTCCTCTGTCTACTCAAACTAAAAACATGGATGAAGACCTTTATGATGATCCACTTTCACTTTATGAGTAGTAAAAACACTTTCTCTTTCTTATGATTTTCTTAATCATATTTTCCTTTCTCTAGCTAACTTTACTGGAAGAATATAGTTTATAATATACACAACATAAGACGTGTCTTGATTGACGGGCTAAGTCATCACTTAGCTCTGGCCAACAGTACCCTTTTAGTACTTCAGTTTTAGGTGAGTCAGAAGTCATACACAAATTTTAGACTTCAAGGGACAATGCCCTTATCCTAACCCTTGTATGGTTCAAAGGTCAACTGTATTTGCTTGAGGGCATGGGCAATGGGAGAGAGTGCAGGGAAACATCAGAGCATACAGAAATGTCCAGTGTCTTCCCAATGGTGATGCTTTCTTGGGTACATTCCATGATAAAAGTCATTAAATTGTGAACATGTGTAGTGGATATTGCACAGGGCATTTTATTGTGCTTCAAATAGGAAAAAAAAAAAAAAAGGTTATTCTGTAGTCCGTTTACTCAATTTTCTGGTAGGATTCATTCATTTCTTCTCTCAACAAATATGTATGTACTGAATGTTCTTTGCCAGATATTGTTCTAGAAGGCAGGGTTTCCGCAGTGCAGTGAGTAGTGGGTGGAGGTGGAGGGTGGAGGGTGGAGGGCGTGAGCCAGGAAGAGGGAACGTCTCCGCGCTTCATGGAAACATTTCTAGTGAGCAGAAACAGGCACTAACGTTGGAGATGTCCATTGGATGGTGAAGAAAACTGAAGTAAAACACTGAGAAGGGGAGTTTCTAGGGATGATGAGGTGTGGCTGCAATTTTACATAGGTTGACAATTTAAGAAATGTTAACTAAATATTGGTAATTTAAATGAGACCTGCCTCCAAGCAAACACAGGGAGAAAGTGGGGAAGTGACGCAGGAGGTCTGACGCCTGGCAGAAGGGCAAGGCTGCTGCTGCGCAAGCGCACAGGGCCTGAGGGCGGAGCAGGTGTGTTGGTGTCGGTGCAGCCTGCCTGGTGAACCAGAGGAAGTCCCCGGGTCATGCAAATCCTTTCCCATTCAGTGTATTCTTTCATGAATTTCCTATGTGTAAGTCATTCCTTTTATTTGATTCAATATGTTACGCTTCCAATTCTTGGAATTCTGGCAGTGGGGGGTTCTGTAACTCAGTCCCCCCTTGGTCTAGTTTCCTTGCCCGTGTAAGAAAGCTGCTTCTTTGAAAGAGGCAGTGAAAGGAAAACTGCTCTTCGATGTTTAAATCAAGCGGTCTCCTTTTGACCTCTTGCCCTGGTGGCCTCATAAGGAACTGCGCTTGGAAGTCAGGGAAGGAGAAAGGAACCAAGGGTGCTCAGAGCGGGAGTAGGGCCCCGCGTACTCCTAACACAATGTACTGACTAGCACGGATGTTCCAACGTGTGTTTGGTTCACTTTCTTAAGCATGAATGAGTTTAGGACGTACATTTCTCTGGGCAATCAATCCAACAGAGGAAAGTCTTCTGCTGTAAACTTGCTGCTGCTTTATTCACTTATTTTTAACCATTTGGTAAAAAGGAGTCTTTTTTTTGTCCTCTCGGAGACCTACAAAAATGGCCCAAAGCTGTGATAAATGCAAAAATCTGATTACTATTACAAAACGTTTACTACCTATCATATGATAGGTACCTCTTATATAATATAGCTTTAGTCAAGTCTTAATAATTGTGTTGGCGTCATAAACCATAATGCAAGCCACCTAAATGAGCTTCTAGCAGAGCAGCAATACCCACACTCTCGTTACAGCTATTCTTTCTCCATACCTAGCAATCATATTAGAAATTAAGTTCTCCTTGGTGTGGAGAACTGTGACTAAGACAACATATCTTATCTATAGTTTAAAAAAACAAAAATTCTATCATTACAAGCAGTGTATGTCAGGGTGTTTTATTTTCCCTAAATATAGGGCACAGAATTATTATTTTTTAAAACTCCTGTAAAACCTTTAAGGAAAATAAGACTTAATTTTGAATTATTTCACACAAGCCCAGTGGGCCAAAGATACTGCCTTTGTCAAACAGTATTGCTGCTACTGGGGACTAAAGTGGCGGGAACAGTACCACAGAATTATTCGCTTGCAGTGGGAGAATTGCTTATTTTTTTATTTTTTATTTTTTTTAATAAATGTCTTTTTTTTTAAATTTTATTTAATTTTATTTTTTGCAGTTTTTTGGCCAGGGCTAGGTTTGAACCTGCCACCCTTGGCATATGGGACCGGCGCCCTACTCCTTGAGCCACAGGTGCCGCCCAGGGAGAATTGTTTAAATTAAAAACTCATCATTATCTTGGGAAAGCCTATCTAAGTAACATATGAAGGAACATCCACTCTAGGAGCAACTCAGCTTTTGCAAATGAACATTTTGAAGGAAATTGTATAGTTGTGGTCTTGAATTGGCCTCGAACTCCATCCTTCACCAGCCTGTGACTAAGGGAGGTATCACCACCTGCTCAGCATTTTGTTATGGAGAAGAAATAGGTTGTAATTTGAGGGACTGCTTCTGTGCCATAGATTAATACCTTTATTGCTAATTTTAAATAAATATGTTGTTCAAAGTTATTAGAAAAATTTGCTTGCAAAGCCCAGTCTTTAAAGAATTAATGAAAAGCTTAGAGAGAGAAATAAAAATCACAGAGCTCACTCCAGACCACTTAGTTTTTAGTTCTGAATGGATTCCATTTTTAATACGATAGAGTTCC